TTTGAACGCCCATAACACCAGCAACGGCCATCCGAGAAGTCAGCCATGGGTCCTCCGAGAAGGTCTCGGCTGCGCGGGCCCATAGCGGCGAACGCAGGATGTTGATGGTTGGTGACAAAACGACATTGCGACCTTTTGCCATGTGCTCCTGGGCTAGTGCTTGGCCGTAGGCGTATTCGAGAGATGTATTCCACGAAGCGGCAGCGGCGATCGGGGCAGGGAAGGCGGTAACGTTGTTCAAGTTGTTTCCAACGCCAGCTGGGCCATCGCCCATGCAGATGGACGGTACTCGTAACGTCTCGTTGCCGGAGATGTGCCCTATGCACGGATTGACACCAGTTCCGTTTTCATCGAGCTCGGTATCGCCTTGTACCATGGCATATTTCTGGGTGCTGTTCAACTGATCCAAGAATAGCTGCAGTCGTTGCTCGTTTGGCACAGTTGGATCCAGCCATGGTCGATACGCTAGGGTCTGTGATGATGCATGTACCCGCGTCAAGGTATAAAGCAAGCCTGTCCAAACCGTGGTGGAGACATACATCTTGCCGAAAGACAATCGTGATTCGAAGATGACCTCGAGAGGAATACTTGGAGATTATCGGACTTGTATCATCACTCGGGTAATATACCCAGGTATGAACAGCTACGAGTCAAATGCGCGGAGTGATTACTCTGGCCACTCCACACTCCGCAGTTTGTCCACAAGATGTGGTAGAAGGCCGGTAAAAAGCCAAGATACCGGCATCGAGACCGTTAAGCCAAACAGATGCCGATTTGCTGATAAGGTTGACCAGTAACATTTCTAAAGCACTATTCTATATCTGGAGAGGATCAGACAATCCGAATCGGCCTTTTGCTATCGCCTAACGGCTGGTATGTAGGCCTGGAATTAGCGTGGTTGGTGGAACACCGGCGGTGAAGATTGAATGCCGGCGTCCTCAGGCTCGTCGACGACATCTTGATGCAGCCAGTTCCATATACGACAGCATACGTCTCACATAGTCCTCTTGTACTCGGGCGTAAGCGTTCCCTCGCTTCACGTCGTAGCTCAGCATACAGCCGTTCATGACTCTCTCTATTGAGTGGTGCGTCATACGCCGAAGTTGCCATGTGTTGTTATCGGCCGGTGCTGCTCGGTAGATTCGTGGATGCTGTTATTTGGCTGACCGACCGCGAGTACTGTGCTATCTGGTCTGGAGCTCGATGAACATGTCGCGTCTATGGTGTCGGAATGCAGGCATTGGACATCGCTAGCACTCTTTCATAGAACGGAAGTAGTTGAAGACAGAAGGCATTGCGGGGAAGCTGGGGTGCCATGTGGGAGCTGCATGCGCCGTAGGGACGGCCACTCAATACGCCGACATCCGACGCTGGGGGTGTCCCAGATGCCGGGCAACTCCAACTCTCGCGTCCGCCACGATCGCAAACCGAATAAGCCTCACCCTAGCCAAGAGGGGAAAACATGCATCATGATCCTCTATCTCCCTTGCATCTCTCGTTCATGATCTTCTCAATCGCTGTCCACCTCGACCACCGGCCGCAAGGCATTCAGTGGTTACCGCTTACTACTGTCCATTAAAGACCATAGTCCGTACCACTCGTGCTGACTGTTGCGATTACGACTGCGGTACCAAGCAACTTGCCGTTGCTCAGGGACACGACTATGTCAGATAAAAATTCATAACAGCCAACTACAGAAAACGTCATCACAAGCCTCTGCCGCTGTCCTCAACCAGAACCACGCCGACAAGGGCCACCAACACTCGAGCGCGAAAACGGCAAGAAGTCGCTACCATACGCATCACATGAAGCCTCCCGCCTTCTATTATCGCATGACGATCCTCTGCGTACACTATAGTCAGAGCTGTGGAGGAAGGCCCAGCTTTGCGAAAGCATTTGCACATGCTGGATAGGCGGCGAGACATCTGCACCAGCGGGAAGTCGCTTCGCAGCACATACTTGTACGCGCTACCATCGCAACCGCCCGCCATGCACACGCTTGCTCATACCCGATTGCGCCAGAGCGATCAGCAGCCACCCAGAAAGCGAACACAAACGGCCTATCACGAGCAGAGTCGGCGCAGCTCGCAACTCCAGGAGCGTGGGCTGTACGATGCACGATGATGCACTCGTAGTACAAACTAGGTAAGCTATCAGGTCGAAGCAATGGCAAGACTTCCCATCTCAGTCTTCTTGATCGAATTGCCGTTATGGAAGAACTGCGCAGGACTACCCTTCGTTTGTCGAGGCGCTTTGCATGGACTTCAACAAGAGCGGGGTGGTTGGCTATATGAAGGTCAACATCAGCCACGTAGTGTTATAATGCGCTACTCACGACTGCGCAGGAGAAGAACGTCAATGTCCTAGAGAATGTGCACATCGAGCTTCTTCGTTAGGCTACAGACGATGTGTACGAACTCGGTGCGCACAAACACCTACTCTTGCGCTTCCAGTCATCATACCCTGCCGTCATCTACCTTACTTTCCAATAAAGCCCCAAGACCCGTTGTCTCTTCACCGAGAGACGCACTTTATCTTGGTGATATCTAGACTCGTTGCGCTGTGCAAGATTAGCATAGATCTTTTCATGTGAAAAGAGTGCGAACGAGACATAAGGTAAGAAGAGAAGATCTGGGGATTTGCTCGAGCTTGGAGGAAACAGCTGCGGCTAAGACTTACATTGTGCACTAGGAGAGTATGGATGTACGTTGCTCGTTTCTGCGAGACAGTGAGATCCACAAATACGCACTAACGCTTATGAACTGCAACACTTCTCTTTCTTCGGCATTACCTCATCGAATGAAATATGTCCGGTTTTGTAAGGACATGTTTCAAAAGCCGGAGAAGCTCTTGTTGCTTTGCTGTTCTGATATCCCTGGTTTTTCCAGACGCAATATCCTTTTGTGATACATGACTATGCCACTTTGAGTAGTCAAGATCGCCAAGCCATGCCAGTCACAAAAGGTATATACCATCAGTAATTCATCTATTGTATCGTACCTACCCAATACCGGCTGCTCCTTTACCTCGACTGCCATGCAGTGATTAGTGTTCAGCGAGCCGGATCGTTCCGCTTTGTTCCAAGTGCTCGCGAGTCGGCTATAAAACCATCCAGTACATCTCCCATCTGAGTTTACTATATCATTGCCCATCCCGATATTCTCATTGTACAATGTCGTACTCTCCTCCTAGCTCTGCGAAACCTTTCACGCTCCACATCCCCGGTCAAGACATCTCCGAATGGCGTCAACTCCTGGAGCTGTCAAAGCTCGGTCCGACCACATACGAGAACCAACAATCCGAGAAGAATTACGGTGTTACGCAGAAATGGATATCTGAGGCTAGAGACTACTGGCTGAATAAATATGACTGGCGCGCACAAGAAAAGCATATCAACTCTTTTGACAACTTCCTGATGCAAATCGACGGAATCGATCTTCACTTCATTGGCCATTTCTCAGGCAAGAAAGACGCAATTCCGATTGTGTTCATGCACGGCTGGCCCGGAAGCTTCATCGAGTTCCTGCCGCTACTAGGCTTGATCAGAGACAAATGGACCAAGAACGACTTACCTTACCACATCATCGTTCCGTCTCTGCCGGGCTATACACTCAGTGCAAGAGGTCTGCCGATTGATAGAAATTGGACCGCGCAAGACAGCGCCGATATCATTCACAAACTCATGACTAATCTTGGATTCGAGAAGTACATCGCTCAAGGCGGAGATGTCGGTAGTATGTTAGGGAGAATTCTAGCGCAGAGCAACGATGCTTGTGTTGGCGTCCATCGTACGTACTCTCGAGTCTTCGTGTTCGACAGCCGTCACAACTAATCGTCAAAGTGAACATGATGCCTGGCTTAGACCTCAGCGACACCAGCAAGCTCGATCCATCCGAAAAGAAAGCCATTGGTCGCGCACTAGACTGGCTCGACTCCGGCAACGCGTATGCTCTCGAACACAGTCATCGACCGAGCACAATCGGGTTCGTCCTGTCGTCTAACCCGCTTGCACTACTAGCATGGTAAATACACCCCGTCATAATTCTCGACCCGTATAATTCATCCATGTATCATCAGAAATGATAACGCTACACAGGATTGGCGAAAAGATGCTCGAATGGACCGATGTCGACCCCACCATCGACACCATCCTCACCAATGTCTCACTCTACTGGTTCACAGGCAGCCTTCCGACGTCGCTCTACATATACCGTCAACTGTTTGGCCCAAAGCGCCTGCGTTACCAGCACACTTCTACGCCAATTGGAGTTTCGATATTCCCTTACGAGCTGCTTCCGGGGATCAAGAGTTTGATCGAAAAAGAGTGCAATGTGGTATTCTATAAGGTGCACGACCGAGGCGGCCATTTCGCGGCGCTAGAACAGCCAGAGCTTCTTTGGGAGGATGTCCAAGCATTCGTTAAGAAGGTTTGGAAAGTATGAATGTAAGCAACAGCCGATAGAAGTGTAAGGTCTTATGTACAAGTGTAGACTTGTGTGTGTGTGTGTGTGTGTGTGTGTGTGTGTGTGTCAAGATGTTCTAACGCCATATTACACGGGGTTAGGCTATACTTCTCTAATCTCGGTCCGTACTAAGGTGCATAGACTGCTAGAGTATCAAAAGTTAACTATTAGCAGTTTAAATAAACCATTAGCTAGAGTATAGAGGTTTAGCTTAAGCGTTGTTTAGATGCGTATAGTCGCAAGCCGTGCGCTTGCGCACGTGACTAAGATATCATCGAGGATTTGCCTACTAGGCTCCAGCCCATCACAAGGACAAGCACACCGCCATTCCCTTGCACCGAGGCTCGAGAGAGATTCAGCTGACGTGTTGGTCTTATAAGTATACAGCGTCTTGCGACTTCTAAGCTTCGCATTTGTCAACCAAAAGCCGAATGGTCCACATAGTGTTATTGGCGAGAGCCAATTCCTGCTATAAACGATATGCTCCCATGACTATGTTGAAAGAATGTGTGATCATATGAAGAGAAGCCAATGTCGCTACACCAAGTATTCCATGGCGATGCCGAGCCTGCTGTGCCACTTCTCCGGATCAGCATCAATTGGTATCATATCCGCAGCCTTGTTTGCAATACAAGCTTCGGCTAACGTCACCCTTCCATTGTCCACAAACCCAAACTTTTCATACATGTTAACAACGCCGGTGTTGTGACAATGTACGATCAGTCTTATGCGCGTGTGCACTTTATGTCCACATGCTTTTTCCATCTTGGTAGACGTGAGTTTTCCGAAATGGATTGCCGTCTCGGTAAGTCGTTTCGCAATACCGCAACCACGATACCCAGGTAGAGTAAATAGGCCGGTGAGTTGCCAGCGCGTCTCAGAGCCTTCGGGACCTGGTGCCGGTTGGCCGGACTCGGGGAAGATGTAGTTGTCCCGTGGGACTGGGCCAATTATGGTGAACATCCCTGCCCAGTCACCGTCTAGCAGCATCTTCAACTGGCTTGCTCTATCTTCCGATGCTTGCTTTGCTGTGTCCGTCGACATTGCGACGCAGATCAAAATCGATGTGCCCGGTTCGGTGATTCTCTCAACCCATGTTGATTGTGGGAGCTGTGACTCAATGTCCAACTCAGATGAGAACGCTTTAGGGTCCGTCTTAAGCGCATGGATCTTGAATTCGCGGAACTTCAAAGCTAGTCGTGCGAGTTGCTCGCTTCCAGAGCTCTTAGGTATGGATGTTGTTACGTAAACGAGGTCTTGATTGGTCGTCATAGTCGAATATATGTCCAGATTCTAGTTGTTTGAGCAGGTCCGTACTTGGCGAAGAGATATTTATACCATCGATTTTTACAACTCATAAAGATAGTGAGTTTTGGAATATGCTCCAGATGCACGCCGTTATCAGGTATCAGACATCGCATGTTGAGTTGCGATGACTCAGTCGGATTTTTACCAATGCACAATGCATGACGCTAACTCTTATCTAGCTATCACCGAGGCACGATTACTGATCTACCTCGATACAACTACCCGTGCCCGCGTGTGCGATGCGCGCATCCACGCAATGTGCAAACAATGTTAATGTCACCTTACTTCACTGCCTTATCAAGCGTCCTGTAGTGGTGTACCAAAAGGTTTTTTTATAGATTAAAATACTATTTGCGCATTATTACCTTAGTGCAACAACCTGTTACAGGTAACGCGAAGGATTCCTTCCTTGACGAGGGGTGGTGAGGTTGAAGATCAACCACGGCCTCGTTAAAAGACTGTAATCACCGCGGGGTGCAGAGGATTACGTGACCTAATTATTATAGCCTAACTCTGTCCCGTCAGCCATACGAGGTGAGTATAGCGATCACGTGCACTTATCTTCCCTGCCTGTCGACCCCGTAACATACTTACGACAGCCTTCATATAACTTAATTCTAGAGTAATAGAGACCGTAACCACAATCGATGTGTATAGTGCGCGTTTAACATCTTCATGTGCGAACTACGGAATCATAGGAACGAGTTCTCCGAAGAGATAGAAGTCCTGTGCTAAGGGCAAGATCTAGAATCTCAAAGCCCCTATTCATAAAACCTTCAACGATTAGCCAAACGGATTCGCGTTCCGGCCTATGTCCAGCCATAAGCTCAAACATCTCTCTCTCCTCAGCTTGTAGAGACATAATCAAGTCCCTCCATTCTCAGATTTCTTCGAAGCAATAGTATTTGTTTTCCGTGCCTGGGGCCAGAAACATCCCAAGACCCATTGAGATGGACCCCGCGAAAAGCTCAGCAAGGCTGCCAAGAATGACAAGATGAAGAGATTTAACGATAAACAGTCTGACAGTGAGTGAGAACAGGACAGTAAGGCTGTCAGCGAATCCGATTATAATAACTGGAATGACGTCGCTATGATTGCAATGGCTTTCTTGGTGTGGGGTTGTTCGACTTTCGAAGAGCTCAGCAATGTTGTGATCTCTACGCCTGGGTCTGACTTTTGAACCTGCAGATTCGGCAGCCATGTTGTTGTTTTCTGTCATCGATATGCTATAAATTGCAAAAGGATAGAGCAGTAGTTGAAAAAGAAGAGAGAAAATCTATCAAGACTTAAGGAGAGTAGAAAGCCCTTAGTAGGGAGGGGAGGGATATTTATAGTTAGACAGGGTCTGGCGAAAACGCATATCTCTTGTTACCAGCGATTTAATGGTATCAAGGCTGTCAGCTCACCACCAGTAGGGTCATCATAGGTAGCTGTCTCCAAGTTCTTCAACGGAATCGCCAGTAAGAAGCTACGTTCTGGCGACAAGTGGAGCCTTGTATTTCATCTGATTATTTGAGTGAGTTATCTGATCAAGTCAGCGAATGAGAACAAAGGCATTTCTCCGCATCGATGCTCGTGACGCGTGAGTAGCATACGTAAGTGATATTGTCAGGCAAATGGGATGAGCCAGAACTAGATGAATGACGCATATATACGCCAAGTAAATGGACAGTGTGTGGTCAATGGTCACGATATGTGGAGGGTACAGTAATTCAGCTCTTAAAGAGCCAGCGCGCATATCAAGCCTCCTGTTCTCACACACGAAGTCGAACACAAAGCTGTAAGGCTACCATAAACCTTTACTTCATTGCGATGTGTCAGTCTTATACTACTTGTATAGATATATACAAGACTAGTCACAGCTGTCGGATAGGCACGATGAATTCTTTGACTCAAGAATTGCAACTGGTCAGAGTCACCTAACGCACCACGCAGCCAGTCAGCTCATGCAACGCAAGGCACCTGCTTGATCTTGTGTTGAGCAATAATACAATCGAGGGAACGCGTTTCTCCTCGCATATCATTCGGCGATATTATGCTCTAGTTAACGTGACGTTGACATTGAAGAGTGATGCACGTAGCGGTGATGTCAATAGTTACCACTTTGATTGGCAATTTCAGGACAACGACTGGTCACCTGTGTCACGGCCCTCGCTAAACTCTATCGACGGTCCGTTAGCCGTCTAGAGGCAGTTAGTCTGAGCGAAGCTTGTGCTGTTCAAGCCTTCTCCAAGCACTTATCCAGGGATAGGTAGTCATGTTGGATGAACTATGGTTAAAGCATCCACTTAGCAGCACGAACGTGTATTATAGGTTAGAGTATCATCCTGCGCATACTCACCAATTTCCGGCACCCGTGTCGGCGACCATAAACTTTGCTAAATCTAGCTAAGCCTTTGTTGCAAGCTTTTGTTCAAAGACCTGGCATGGGCGGACGGATCAGGGGGACATCGTGGCAGCAAGATGTCATTGACTCGCTGTGATTGGCTGACTGCAGCCTTGACGCACGACACCCGATAGATCGTGTACGCTTGGGTGCCGTACCCGTCGGCCTGACTTTACCCCGCTACGCCACTACACCAAAACCATGTTGCGGCGACGATTGTACACTCAGCCTCAATACATGATACCAGTGCTAGATGTGGTACGCGTCACCCAGACAGGCGACAGTGTTCAAGCCAACATCTCTGATTCAATCAGCATGGAGGTAATTCCGACATACAAAACATAATCACTCTGGCTGTAATTGGCTAAGCTCTCTGATGCACTTGCGTGCTGTGAGTGAATACTGGATGGGCAGATATATGTCGGCTCCGTTCTTCTTTTCTGTCGTAAGCATATCATTCTCAAGCATCTTTTGTCGTCTGCAATTGACTAATCACGATGACGACTTCAAGAAATGCATTTCTTTTATGTTGCGGTTTGGGTGAGTATGACGATTTAGATCCTTCTATAGTTGCACTACAGGAGTAAATGCTAACAACAACATGTCATGCAGCTCTTTGCTATATCGATGCGTTCATAGCTGTGGTGCAGGCACAAGACGCTGCATATTCAACTTTTATATATCCCACCGACCATGGAAATCTCACATTTGCCTTGAGCGCTGCAGAATCGACTGGCGATGTCTACTTACACATGTCTGCACCAGCGATATACCAGTGGGTTGGTGTTGGTACAGGAAGCGAGATGGATGGCAGCGTCATGTGGATTGTGTATGAGAGCTCGGATAAGAACGGTCAGCGCTTCGGATTTCTTGCCCTTGTTGGCCTCATCATCTAACAATTATTAGGCGTGACACTTTCACCGCGAACTTCAGATGGTCACGTTGAGCCAAGCTTCGACAACAGCATCGACTGCGTGTTGGTTGAGGGAACTGATTATCACAACGGGATCTATCAGACTTCCGGCACCCACTACTACTCCGCCAACATTCGCTGCAAGAACGTCACTACGTTCGGAGACGGCGACGGGAAGCTCGAATTTAGCAACGCCAAACAGCCCTTCATTTACACATGGGGTCCTACCGACGACACAATCGCGAGCGCGTCAAAGTCTGCGCATATCAAGCGTCACGAGGCATATGGAAATTTCTGGATGGACATGACTAAAGCTACGTCTAACCAGACGAGTATGGTCAGCGTTCCAAACGGTGCAGTTCTCTCAACTACGAATAATGCCGGTGGAGACGAGAAGGCAGAAAGTGACGGCGATAAGGTCGGCCCAGCCCATGCAGTCATCATGATTGTTGCATTTTTGGTCATCTTCCCACTTGGAGCGGTTCTGCTTCGATTCCTCGAAAGTGTTAAGATACATGGCATTGTGCAGAGCGTAGGTGTAATCACTACCGTGGTTGGAGTGGGACTTGGAATTTATCTGAGCACAATGTACAATCACGTAAGCTTGCTCTTCGCTCACATGGCGTTGGATATCACGGACTAACACGAGATTATTTTAGTCGAAAGACTTCACATCAGGCCACCAAGTCTTCGGTCTTATCCTCTTCGCCTTGCTCTTCCTTCAATGGGGACTTGGACTCTACCATCATCTTCGGTTCCGCAAGTACCAAAGGCCTACAATTTACGGATATATTCACTTGATCGCTGGTCCAGCTATCGTCTTGGGTGGTATCATCAACGGATTCATCGGGTTCAACTTTAGTGGTGACCCGAGGAATAACATCTATTATGGTATCGCTGTGGCTATTATATTAGTCGTGGTTCTGGGATTGTTGTCATGGAAGAGATGGTCAAAGAGAAAGCAAGGCAAGATCGACAGGAGTACAGGACCGGACAGATCTAACAAAGACTCTTATGGACTTAATCTAGTTTCGGGATCGTACAATATGCATTAGAAGAAAGGATAAGCCTCTGTGGCGCCTAGTCACTCTCGCCGGATGAGGATGATGGCACGATATTGTATAATAATTATTGTTATCTCCCTAGAGATAGACTTAGAAACATTGCCTTACAGATGAGAATTGTTTAATTTCGATATCCAGGACTCGGATGCTGCTAATCTTTGCTTGTATCTGGATGGTTGGACATATGATTACTTCTCCCTTTCTACCCTATCTGAATTCCATCACGAACGTGATGAAGACGACAAGTGTCTCTCCGCACATGAAGTTCGTTTGCTTATATATCTCTTTCACCCTGGGCTGTATTTTCATCTTGGCAGAGATAACCCGTTAAGATGGTTTGCCAAGTGCGGGGCAACGGTGGTGCTACGTATTGAAGAAGCCGCGATGACTTCCACTGGAGCCACCAGTCATGCATACCCTGGCAATTGCTGTTCATTGAAAGAACTCTCTCGGGATCCCATCCTTGAGCGTAGCAGTGCTCGAATGACACCAGTCCAGTGCCATTAACAACATCTTTCATCATCTCCGGATACCCTTTGAAAAGGTAGCAGTAATAACTCCGATAGCCCGTCCCATTCCGTTGTGCAGATGAAGGTACGATACCGTGGCCTGACCATTGCTGTAACGCATCTTGCCAAATTGCATCTTCGATCAGCATGTCAAAGACTGGTTGTATGGCGTTTGTCTCACCTTCGAAGATGAGAGAGAATGACTTGATAGGCGTACCTATGGATGCGAGCGCTGAAGCTTCCATCAGCCATGGAACAACTGACCGGGTAACATCCATTCTTTCCATATCTTCCAGTGGTGTTCTCCCACGACCAAAGCTACAGCGATGCGTCTCGAGACGAGACAGCCGCTCTGAAGCCAGTACGGTATTCCATAGGTCTACGCGACGAACAATCCTGAGATTTGGATTCCCAACAGCGTACGGTATCAGGGCCCTAGCATGGCATTCGGAGTAAGCGATGCATGCATGTTTCTCATGTAGTTCGATATTGCGTATTTGAGCCCGATTTTGCCGTGAGAGAGAAAGGAGGAATCTCGCAGCTTGTGAGGCGGCGGATGTGTAGTATTTCGTGCTATCTCGAACTGGCTCACGGGCAGGCCAGGTCCCGCGGAGTGGCAATCGTTTCTCCAAGGCTGCGACCTCATGTTTACTTGGTAAACACCATGGTTTTGGGTGTGGGGAATACAGGTCTGTCATATCTTGGTCCTCCTTGAACTTGAAACTAAGCTGAGAGAGAGAGCTCTGCGAGTGACCTGACTAAAGACAGGGTTCTCTGCAACCCTCCATAGCAATTCAGCCACAGCTTCGCGATGAATGGACGGAGCCAAATCCCATTCCTCGAACCTATCCAGTTGTTCATAGTGTCTACACTTCTTTTCCGTTGTTGTTTGTAGATGGCGGATAAGGTTCTCGCTTTGAGGGAAAAGCTCGATAACCTTGTCGGCGACGAAGTTTGTTATGAAAGGCCGGGCGTGAGGCAGTATTGATATCCTTGCGATATAGATTTCTTCCAGCAGATGGCCGAAGTGTCGAGTTCTTGGAGTGCAACGGCCAGTGATCTGCGCCGTGTTGAAGTGAATTGCATTATTGTTGAATGCAACTCCTCGCATTTCGACAGCAATTGTCTTACATGTGTACATGAGGGATAAGTCGATATGCTCTCCGGACAAGCATCGCAGTCGTCCTGAATTGGAGTCGAAATAGTATCCTGCATCCTGAGATATGTAATAGTCATATATCACATCTCGGAGTTCGCGGGGAATTTGATGGAAAGACATCGAGAGTGTGATGCGGCAGGTATGTGGTCGATGTTACGTGAACGAATGTAGGATGACTCGCTCGGGTAGACTTAGCTTCGAGTCTAATTGCTCAAATCTTAATCCGCTGTCGATGTTCGAGGAACAAGTATCAAGATTATGGTGTTGGGGATCTCGGGATTTTATACAAATACCACCAGGCACCAATCTGACTAAGAAGCATGTGACCTGTCCGCTACTTTGGAAGACTGACTTTGGGCCATGGTTACATAGCCTGATGCGCAAGCTTTGAGTCAAGACAGTCACCGAGAACCATGTTTCATAGGCAGAGAAATTACAGAATGGTAAGGAAGAAGCGAGTGTTACGTGGTATCGGTTTCTTTGTTGAGCGTCTAAAGGCTTCTACTTTTGCAAGCATGCTGCCATTCTGTTATAATCCCGTGATTTTAGCTGTATTAAGCATTTTACCCATTGCTTGTAATCCATAACAAATCAATACTAGAAAGCAGTTTTCTTTTTCGTGCAGAATGTTGTCCTATATACATATATTAGTGGGAAGGTTGAGCAACACGCTGGGCAACTTACACGGCGATTCGAACTGAAGCTCTACATTGCATCTTTCGAATCTGCTGGTGGCGAACAGAGTTAGTGGAAAGAACTTCAATGCTCAGTTACCAGCGACTCACCGTGGTACTGTATCGCGTCATGAGTCGCCAGCGCGTCACGATTACACTACGGTCGCTGTCAGTGGACATACCGACGACAACTGCTCGATACGTACCGTGACCCGGCACCTACAACATTGCCCACAACGTTGTGCGGGTGTGAAAACCCCTCGAAATAGCTTTATGACATCAGCATTGGCTACTTGAATATAGGCAGCAACGATCAGGGCTTACCGTCGAGATTGGTTGTGTCACGTGTGTTCGGCTGCCTGTCTTGCCTGGGCTGATACCGTGGAACTGCTCAACATTAGTGCCGGCTGACCCAATTTTCTTTTGTGCCTTACCACGGGTGGGTTTGAAGACTGATGACGTTTGCGCATTCCTAGAACCCTTAGCCCCGACTTGACCAGCCGTCGCTCATAGCTTACCCATGGTTCCGTGGAGAGTCAACATTCCTCGATTTATCTAGAGCTGTTAGGACCCTCTGTTTAGAGGATTGTGTGTGTGGCTTACCATTGGTCGCGATCGCAGCTGTCTGGAAGGGGACTGTGGGAGACCTGGATCGTCAGACAGAATCGGGGACAAGGTAATTCGGAGCTTACCCTCGAGTGACTCCTGGCAAGTCTGTTAAACTCTATGGATTCGTCAGATCGCTCTTGGGTATGACTCTGTGTAGCATACCGAGAGGAGAGAGCTCATTGGACCACAGCGTCGTGATGTTGTCGTTGCTGGGTTGTGTTGGGGAGATGAACCATAACACCCTGTTGGAAAGTATCAGCGTGATGTCAAGAGATGTGGAGCTCAAGAGCAAGGCCACTCACTAGAGAGAGTCCGCAAAACCTCGTAATGCACTCATGTATCCGTTAGCTGAATGTCAAAGCGAAGCAATGATAGATGGTTGAAGAACGCGCTACTTACAGACTCAACGAGCAGACGCTCGAAAGCATATAACATACCTATGCCCCTGAAGACATTAGTAGACTTGCAGAGAACAAGGAGAGCATGTCCTACCCCGGGATTGTTGGCGCCGGATATCACCACCATACCCACAATCAATCCGCAATCACATCCGCAATCATGTGCTCAGTTGTCACTATCGTTTCGTCAGCATGGGATAGTCGAACCATTTCAGTTGCGAGAAGAACGTACACCGTCGCACCCAAGTCCACCCCTTCGGGACAGCCATCACCTGTCTTTGGTCAATCGATTATCATGAGCGATTCAGAGATGCAATGTTACCTGTAGCGATTTCCATCCCGATGCCGTCTTCGACATGGCAACAACACTTTGCTGGTACTTCATATACCTGGGGGTATGGGATACTGAGACAACGCCTCAAATCCACATTCGCCATATCCCAGACCCGCAGGAAAACCCGATGCCAGCGATCCCTAGTCACTCGTCAGTCGACATGTGTATGAAGTTTGTTTTGCAAGAAACATACTGCTTGGACTCCTGGCTTGCAAGCTTCTTCGTGCGTCGCTGCTGGCCAAAGCTGTTGAGGAAGAACGTGACTTGTCGCCTGCTGAGCAGCAGGAACGTAGTCGTCTGCGACGGGAGTTGTCATGCCTACAACTGTTAATAGATGCACAGATAAACCTCCCTGAGCGACTACGTACTTCTACGTGATGAAGTCAAGGACTGACGACCTGCAGCTGTGGGAGAAAGAATATCTCAAGAACGCCTGCACATCAGAGAAGGACGGCTCGTGGTTCTGGTCCTTCATGAATCTCCGGGACCTGGTCAGATATTTCCTCAATAACCCTTGAACGAAGCTGCTCCGCCGTCGCAAGTTCTTCTCATTCTCATCCTCATCCCCATCCTCGTCCTCCTCTTGAACGAACCGATCGAATGGACCGATTGCGCGCGCGCGCATACGAATTGAGAAAGCTTTGGAGATGGCTCACGTAGGCGAGTCGGATACAACCAACAAGTGGACGGCTGAAGGACGGAGACGGAAGGATGGATGCAGTATTGGGGACTGTCATGGTCGAGCTGTTGTCCGTCTGGGCGTGTCGGGAACGATGATGTACCTGATCTTGCAACGTAGTACCTACCGGAAAGAGACAGGCAGTACTCATGATGTTGATGTAGATGTGTTAGTAATGAAGTAATGTGGTATCGCACGCGATTCTGATAGTGCAATGTGAAAGGCCCAAGCTTCAAGCGCCAAGCGTCAAGCGCCACGCCTGGCATCGTCATCGTTCTCATGCAAAGAAATCAGTAGTGATAAAGCCGTGATAGACTTTCTGATCATACGTTCGAAATATTGGGGAGGCTGGTGGCACTGATGCAATTGACAGGGTCAAAGACGAATCCCACCACATTTGCCTGGCTCGCCTCCTCTCACAACTTACAGCCCACTAATCCCGAGGTGATTCCGTGCTTGGCAAGCCGTGATGCTCACCTCTTGACACAAGGTCACGTTATCGATCGTTCGTTGGGTACGTTACATGATCGTCAAGTAGTATCTATGTCAGGCTTCTGAGGTCAGTAGCTAGGTAGCGGTACTGTACTGCTACTTGCTGCTTTCAGGTCTCAAGAACTAGTAGGCGCGGCGCAGGTCTTGTATGGGTAATGCACTTTCTCTAATGAATGGATAGTCCTCGAATTCGCCCGTTGACGATGTGGTGTGACATTGATCCGTCCCTGTAACCCAAGCAGGTTTTATATACTTAGGTACTAAAGTGCATGCAAATAACGATCATACAATGGCCTATCAAGATCTTTTTTGCATGATAAACAACCAACACTTGGCTACAGTAGCCTGCAAGAGATTCTCATACCTGCACATCTAGTTTTTAAGGCTTCTTCACTTCCGAAGAAGGCGACTATCTTAGTAAACGTTTGCTAATAGCTCATGGTAGATTCGAGTAATAGTTTTAGGCTCAGCAACCCCAAGATAAAACAGTCACAAGATGTCACGGTTGTAATTTAGTGCCATACGCTTCCTATGAGTGCATCTCATTGCAAAAGCATAGTAGACCGTCTATAAGGCTCCTGGACATGCCATCATCTGTGTCGTACGTCGGGCTGATATGAGATTACTTGCAAGTTTTGACACGCGTGTAATCATCTGCGTTTCGTGAGGTATCCTCGGACGCCATGCTAACATCGCAAGGTCTAGCGGCTGCAAACTTGAACACAAGAGACAATAGAAGCGTCCAGAAAGATGGTAAAAATAGTCTCGTCCTCTAGCCTGCAATCTCAAGATGAATAAACTCCAATCTAGGTGCACTATATAAACGAGTGTCCAGGTGTTATAATGGATAATTTACGGTTGCAATCAATGAAACTTCCAAATGAGTATATATACAGCTGCATATAGTGAAGCCAAGTGTTTTGGAACACACTTCTACTGCGATACAATACAGTGTAACTCAACAGCGTTGTGCCTGCGTCTTATCACCAGCACGTCAATCAAATTAATAGAAAAGTCCCACCAATAATGTCAACGACAAAGCCGAGGGATATGATGCGCGTGTAACGATTCGCCCCGTCTCACTTTCGCACAGCTTTTACGCCTTATACTGACGCCAGTCTTGAAGCGACACCGTGGTCGTTCCATGATCCAAGCTCATCGTTGATAACGCTCTTGTTGATCGGTAACAGATATCTGACGCTCTGTAAAACTCACGGCCTCAGCATATCCAAGGGCGATATTTCTTCTTTCATAAACCCTGTTGGTAGAACGTCCCAAGATCTGCATAGCGCAGAATGGGTACACTGTTCACACCCACACTGCACGGATGGAATATCGCGATCATCCCGTGAAGCGGACAACACCTTGATTGCAGCAGTCCGGGTAAAGATCGGAAAGCGTTGATGATCATTGGTTCCAGTCTTTCGAAGATCCTCAGGCTTGGCATCGACAAACCCACACCCAGGCCGAACGCCAGGATTGCCCGTTGTCCCGTTCCGCGGTTGCGTTCGTGGAACATGGTACCGATTCCCAGCCACCAGTCTCCCCATCCCTTCTTCCCAAACACTGCTGTATCACATCTACAATTCCTCAACCGCAACGCGACACAAATGTTTGTGCGGCCTTGCAGCACGATGGTGACTACGACTACGATCATAGCGCAGTTGCATAGCTTCCATAAGCTTCCTCGGAGCTGCGTGATTAGACCTACGAAAAAGATCTACCACCGAAGTTGCTTTGGTACATACGTACCGATGCTTTCATTTCTCCCTTCAGGTTCCAAGGGTAGACTGGCCAGGTGACTACGTGGGTAACCTTACCTAGTGAGACTCTATAGCGCAACCTTTTCAAAATTTGGAAGCTGAGTTTCAGGTATTGAGCTAGATATGCGCTGTGCATTGGATTGTATGTTTGTTGACAGTACCCATGGTAGTCAGATACTCGATGCTGAGGGATTGTAGCCAGTGAGCGTCTTTCCACAAGGACGCCGTTCCGTGGTACGTATTTCGCGACGCCTGGTACATGCCCACATTCACGTGAGCCGGTTGCTGCCTCCGGATCCTTCAAGTAGAAAAGGCCGCCTGTTTGCCGCATACTTTCCAACACACTTTTTCATCTCGACCCGCCGTCCCCTAACTATCATCGCGGTATCACGACAACCATGGCAGACTTCTACAGCCTTCCTCGCGAGCTTCAGAATCATATCTACAAATTCTACTTTGAGGTAGAGGGCGGTTATACATACAACTTCTCCACTGGAAAACTCACGTCTGCAAGCGGCCAACCCATCTAATTAGCTCTCAGGTCCGTAAGCAGATTCTTCCGAAACGAAACGTGCGGACTAGCACTGGGGCTCAATACGCTTCACTTTCCATCGAATACAACCATTCACTTCAAAGGAGAGCTGGCCACCTCAATGGTCTCCTGATCAGACTGGAACAGTTGGAGGCTCGCTACTTAGTATGGAGAGTCAGTAGGGCAGGTCTCTTTGACGATACAGTATATGCCCATGTCGAAGCGCGGCATCCCCAATATACATCGCTGATCCGAAAATTAGAACAAGGACGTGTTTACGACATCTCACTCAGCAAATATTGGAAGGACACGCCTTCAAAGACGCGTCAATTTGTCACGTCTACACTCGCCGCTGTCGCAGCGCATCCAAAATTCTTCAAATTGACAGAAAACTCGCCCAGGTGGACGCCAAAGGAAAGCGGATATGATGATCCCAGAGAGGTAATAGTGTACAACTACATGCCATGGAAGATACCAACTGAAGAGGATATCATGGCTATGAAGCATGTTCTAGGACCTGAGAACGGAGTCGACGACATAAACCGGAATGACATTCGCTATCGTGATCGCTTCAAATACCGATTCTCGGCAGCAAGTGTAGCAATATCCATCCTGAATTCTATGTCTCGATTTGCGCAACTTCAAATCCGCAAGATTGTAATACATGAAGAGAACAGGGCCGTGGCTTGGCCCCAGTGTCACGCGCAAGGCTTTATCCCGTTCTGTCAACGCAACCCAAAGCTACGAATCGAGCGAGTCGATCTCTGGAAGGCGACACTACCAGCCGCATCGGGCTTGTTGATAGACAACGAAAACCCGCCACCTTACCATTGGGGGGGAAAGGCGTGCGATTGTGCGCAGGCCGACTCGATCACGTCGGGGATTCACGACGAATAGGGCTGCATCGCCAGCTGGATCATGGAAGTGATGTCCCTACATTCCCTTGGGATGCCACCTCAATCCTTCCGCATGGTCATCGATGGTGATCTTACTCCGACACAATCGACACGCATCTTTGATGTGGCCAAACGCGATGCTGCATGGCAAATCGCCTTTGAAGCGTGCTTGTCTGACCGTAGGATCTGGCAAGCCCCTCTAGATTGGTGGAAGATAAGGCCTAACAGCGCGTATATCATGGATGGTTTCCCGGAAGCTTTACGCGCCATGACAAATTGCCAATCGCCAGTCAGTTGCAACTTTGACATTGGCCAAATGCCGGATACAGAGTCGCTCGTAAGTCAGGGCCGCAAATGGACGTTGGAAGAGTGGGAGAAGAACTGGAGGGCTTCTATGCCTGCTAATATCGACACCGAGGTGCCCTCGTGCAGCTGGCTCGATCTCCAGCGCGAGAACACACTGTTTTGCATGGGAAACGTACGTGCGCATGTGATTATGCACATAGAATGTCTGGTTATTTGATACAAAATATGATCACAAACGTCTCTACACCTAGAATTCGGTATCAACAACCAATGACATTTCCATTGCCGCGTCGCTCTCACGCGTCAAGCGGCTTTTCTCGCGCAAGATAAAAGCAGAAAAGCATCGATCGAACGCTTTATTGAGTCGTGATTACTAGAGAAACGCGTTCACAGTGTAAACAGTTCTATTGTTACTCATACTATGAACTTTGCGTGATGCCTGTTCTTTACCCGACCTACCTAGGTAGCGTCAATATCACATATAGACAAGAGCGTTTCTGGGTACTGAGGTCTAGTGGTAAGCAGAGATAGAGGCTTTGTCGCATATCAAGGGGGTGTGGTCGGCGGTAGTCTTTTATCAAGCGCCATGTCACTTCGTGTTGTCGTGCTACACAGCAGAAACCCCGTAATTTAAGACAAAGCTAGACATCTGCATTCGTGAGGCTCTGGTAAAAACGGCAGCGGCAGCCTTGGATACTGCTACAACATCATGAAACCACCTGAAGCCGATATCGTTTGTCCCGAGATCCACTTTGAGTCTTCACTTGCTATCCAGCATACAACCTGCGCGATATCATCTGCAGTTCCCACACGATGCTCTACTGCCGTGCCTTTCAACACATAATCTCTCGATTCTTCTGGAAGGTTTTCCAGCATGTCTGACTCTACCGAGCCAGGAGAAACACAGTTAACAGTATGGCCCTCATCTCCTAGTTCATGTGCAAGACTTCTTGTCAAGCCTTCGACGGCTGCTTTCGACGCGGCATAGATGGAAAGGTTGGGTGGGCCGGCGCGCGAACCAGCGGATGATATGTTAATGATTCGTCCAGGTTTACGAAGATGAGGAACCACAGCCTTAGTCAAAAATAGTGGTACGCGAACATTGATGTCGAACATTCCCGTGTAGTCTTCAAGGGTTGTCCCCCCAATGGGATTTGCCCAAAGTACACCGGCATTGTTGATCAGGACGTCAATCTTGTCGCCGAATGCTTCCCTGGTTGACGCAACGATAGCTGTAGGAGCCTCAAGTTCTTTGAGATCTGCTCGGATGATGTGTGCTTTGCTACCATTTTTTAAAGCTGATATGTCGGACGCGATCGTCTTGGCCTTTTCCTCACTACTGGGGGATGTGTAAACAAGCGCGACCTGTTTGCATTGTTAGAGTTACGGCAGCTTCTTCACTCTTGACATTAGGAGACACTTACCTTTGCGCCTCTACGCGCCAATTCTAGTGCTATACCAGCTCCAATTCCCCGGGAAGCACCAGTAATGATGGCGACCTTTCCTTGCAAGGTGAGAGGAGTAGAGCGAGTGGAACTGAGTGTAGCGGACATGATGAATGTATGATGCTTGTGAGACAGATAACGGCGTGTTGTTCCAAGTATTATTTGCCCCCATCTCTCTTCTTATACTGTTTCCGCTGTACGTCACTCATCCTTGAATGGATTTAGGAGTCGGATTTACAACACCATATGGTTTTAACTACTCCCGTTTGACGTAATAAGGCGTGAGCACTATTAACGCGTTACTGACACCCGGAGCTTTGATATCGGACCGTTTAAGCACCCTTACCTTTGCAGGTATTTTTGTCAGCCAGTTGCATCAATGCACGGATCCGTGGCGCCCAGGCGGAGTAATATCTGAGCACGTGAGCATACCTTAACGTTATGGTATATTAGGATTCCAAACGGTCTTTTTTATCCACCTAAAGAAGTAGTGATCAATTGCTGCAGCTGTCTGAACAACCTGCCTTCCCATCTACGACCCACCAAAACCTTTCTCCAAGCCCCTTAGCCAAACCCCGGCCGCATACGCCCCCGGATCGGGGATCTTACTTCTCTCGCTCCCATCCTCACTAATATATGTCGCCCGCCCGAACTTGGCTTTCATATCCTTTGTACTGTCCGCCTTCTTCTCCGCCACATCCACACTCTTACTCAAATCCTTGCTCTCAGCCAATGTGTTGATGAAAGGAATCAACACGTCCATGACCGTTCTGTCGCCCTCCCGTGCACTAGTATAGTTCTTCAGGTTCTCGAGCGCAATCGATGCGGAAGACGCCAGCGTCGAGATATCCAGTGGTGCGTTTTGTGATAGAGTGGCTTTTGACAGCGCGTTTGTGAAGGCGGTGACGAGGATAGACAGAATGGCACCGAGAGAGCCGCCGACATCTTCGACGTTCTCGCTTATGCTTTCTAGCAAGGCGAGGATGGGTGGCGGGTTACTTTCCACGGCGTCGATATTGGCGAGGATGGACTTGCATACTCCGGCCACAGCTTCTCCGCAGTCACCGTCGCCCATCTGTAAGTCGTATTGTGTGATTGTGGGTTCTGCTTCTAGCACTGCTTTGCATGCTGTGCGGAGAGCGGGGATGAAAGAGGGTGGTGTAGCGGGTCCCTTGTGGAGCGCGGATTTGTCGGCTGCAGCGGCGTTGGCTTTGTTGCGTAGCTCCTCTGTTTCCTTGTTGACTTTGAGGGGCTGGTAACCGTTCTTTGGCCAGGCCGGAGCGTTTGTAGGTGCGTCTAGCAGTTCCATGACATCTTCGTCTTTGAGATCCATGGCCTTTGCCATGCCGCTCATGTTGCCGAGTGTTATGCTGAAGCCCTGGGCGTTAAGGGAGGTTTCTAGTACGCCAGCATAGATGCGTGTTGGTACGATCTTCCAGTCGCGCTTCAAGGCTATCAGAGCGAGATTCACCAAGGCATCAAATTCGAGGTTTGAGAGGCCACCGAAGTTGTTGACGAGCATGACGACGTTATCGTTGGGGTTGAAGGTGACGAATGCGCGGTCGGAGTCGGATGGATCGAGGAGGTAGCGAAGCATCTCTTTGATGACATCTTCAGGGCTAGGCATTGGGGAGATGGTTCGTAAACCCTAGCATCAATCAGCCTGTGATACTTGTATAGCTCGAATCGAGTCGAAGGGACTTACAGGCTCGTTATGAATACCCATACCAACTACACAAGCATCATCCTGCACACTCTCAAACGCGTCTCGTCCTGGAACATGGCAATGATCGAGACTCGTCCCGATAGTGACCAATTGCGAGTTACCCAACTCGCCAATCTTCCTACACCTTTCAAAAGCCCAGCCTTTCTGTGATGCGGCGCCAGCAAGCTTGATAACTAGCAAGTTGCCAGCCAAACCCCTCCTTCCAACCTTGCCACTCTTTTCGCGACCCAGAGCGGCGTCTTCTGCCATGCATACAACGTCGACTTTGTATCCTAATGCCTGGCCCTTCTCTCTAGCAAGACCAAAATGTAGCATATCTCCCGTATAGTTCGTTATACATAGAATAACGCCCTCGTTACTCGGCACATTCCGTATTCCAGCCATGATCTGCTTGGTGCTGGGAGAAGCGAAGATGTCACCGCATACAGCAGCTGACAACATGCCATCGCCGACGAAGCCAGACCACGCCGGCTCATGGCCTGAGCCACCACCAGATATGATAGTGACCTGGTCCGGAGGGTGTGAGAGATTGTAAACGACTCGGTTGGCCTCGTCGAGCGCCATGTGGGAGTTGCGTGTGCATAGCGAGCGGAGATTATGGAGGACCACGCCTTCGGGATTGGGGAAGAAATGTTTTCTAGACATCTTGACGACGCGCCCGAATGTGTATGACGTAAAGATCTGAGGTTGTCAGCGAGTGAGACCCATGCCGTATACTATTTGGCAGTTGTAGTCTGGAATGGTAGCTGAAGGAACAACATACCTCAAATATGTCGAACACACAAAGATATACACGGCTCAGAATTCTGGGGATGAAAACAAGAGACCAAGCCACGCGACATACCATCAATTCAGCCGGCCATCGTGCCTTTTAAACAATCCCCCGCATCCCCCGCCTCGATCAACATTATGACCCCGGACCCCGCTCGTGGCACCCCATCACGCCCGTCAAGTCATTTTTTCGGTCCTCATACGCGTCTAATGGCACGTTTACGCGCTCAGATTAACCCGAAGCTTCGTCAACCTAGATTTCGCAGCTTGGGTATACTGCATTCAGTCAAGTGGAATACAGGTGGGTTACTGGAACCTGGGGAGATTGATGTGTTTGCGCCGGGATTGCTGCTTTGGGAATGCCGGGTGGAAGCTCGGCCTTGGTGGAGGAAGCTCGCATCGGTCGAAGCTCCGAGAGCTACGAAATGTTACGCCTCGCCTCGAGGCGCTATCAGCACCTACAGTGTCCACATTTCACCTTTTTGGAGCAGGCAACTGCGATCGACTTTGTAAACTTCAATGATTTTGGCGCGATTCTGGAAATAACTGTTTGATCTGGGCGAGCTGACCCTATTGACGTCGTAACGATAGGTAGCTGGGCCTGATCGCTCGCCATCGCGTCTGCAATTTGGAAGGCCTCTTTTGCGAAAGTACAAAACCATTACCATCTGTTTGGGTGCCACGGTCACAACGACTTATCATGTCCTGCATACCATCCAGAAGCCTGGGAAACCTATGAAGCAACACAAGAGCATAACCCTTCGTGATCCGAAGCACCTAATCAAACATGATCTTGGTACCCTTCAGGAGCGTGCCACCGAGCAGTTTGCCGACTGCATATCCGATGTAAGCGCCTGTAACAATGGTGACGGGCCATTTTTGCCATTCGCGGTCCCTTGTAGTCGGTTAGCTATGTTTTCCGGTGTCGACATGTGTAGAAGTACTCACCAGTCCAATGGAATAGGCACAGCGCCCAGCCATGCACCAAGCACAGTGCCAATCAATCCTCCGTAGACTTCGTCAATCGGCAGAAGCAGCGCGACAATCTGCCTCCAGGTCTCGCCGTCTACACCGTGTACGTATACCAAGGGAAGTGTACTGAGAAGCGCAATGTGAGCGCCGCAAAGGAGAGTATGCCAGTAATGCGAGGAGACGGGCGCGCCGAAGAGGACGAGGGTAGCGGTCAGGAGCGGGGTTGCAGCGATCAGGGCAAGAAGGAGGGATAGGAATGCCGGCTGTATCGTTTGTCAGTCTTGCTTTCTCGAATATCGGCCGTGGCAGGCTTAGTGTAGGGTGTAAAAGTCGTAGAGTACACGTACCACAAGCTTCGAGTTACCCCCTTGCTCCGGCTTGCCAGGAGCCTTGGCTTTCTTCTCGGTGGGCTTCTTGGGTGCGCCTCCAGTTGGTGGTAGGCATACAGCCACGAACGCTATCTGTAGCACGGCGAGGTACGGAAGGGTGCTAAAGAGCGTCGATACCGGGTCGGCAACCAATGCATTGAACTTGAGGCCATAGACGGAAAGGACAAGAAGCGGGTGAATGTGCATGTAGGTGCGTGCCAAGTCATTCTTCAATGGCTCGATTGGCGGTGCGGTAGAAGGTTGGACCTTGGATGTCGCGTTTGCGTTGATGACAGTCGTGCTGGCCATGTTTGCGAATGAAAGAAGAGGATTGGCGGTGTGCGGCGTTGTCAGTACGATGCGGATGTCAACTAGCAGGGCAAGGCTTTACGATGGGCGTCTAAAGGAGCGGAAGTGGCGCCTGGCCTGTTGGGTTGGTGCAATCGCGGTGGTTGCGGAGGGATGTCGCGGGTCGGAAACTTTCGTGATGTTGTCCGTGCTGCGCGCTCATTGGACACATGTCACATCACCACTCGAGCACCTCCATGGTTTGTAGCAAGGACTACAAGCGTTTGGGGAAGAACAGATTACTAGTCTTGTATGTAGATTCCCGTTGTTCGCTTCGGCTTCTGAATTCCATGAGACGAGTATCTACTTCGTGACGATGGACGCAGCGCTCCTACTGCAACACCCTGCGGTCCTCTCACTGCTTCTGCTCTGCTTTCTTAGGTAGCAAGTTCCTCAACGACAGATCGTAGACTACATCCTCGACATCTTTGACCCTGTACTTCAGACCATCGCTACGGCGGCGCAGACTGTCATTCTTGAGGTTGAGGATCTGGAAACCCGCGTGCAGATCCTTGACGAACTGGTTGATGAGAAGCGGACGCTCGTAATCACCCAGCGTGACGGCGTTACGTGCAAGGCGTGTCAATTCCTCAACCAGCGTCATAAGAGAATGAAGGTACTCTTCGAGCGAGAGATGGAACTCATCGCGGTCCTTGAGGTTCACGGGAACTGACCGCGTTAGCCGTGCGTATATGAAGCGGGATTTTGAGCATACTCTTGAAGATCTCGCCGAGCTCCTCGATGGTCAACAGACGGCCGCATTGTACTTCACCGCCATCATACTTGAAGCCGCCGAGCCAGCCCCAGAACAAAGCACTCTCACACTGTTATGTTGTCAGCTTCGTCGTCACGGGTCTTGGGTGCCTGGTGGGCTTTACCGCGCCCTGCATCTGACGACTCCACATGTTGTTGAACTTGTAGTACGGCATCTTTGACGCAGCCTGCGACAGCTGGCCGACAGTGGCGATTACATTGTCAATCGGTTCCTGAGAAGCCTTGAGAATATCGGGTACTGTGTTCATATTAGGCGTGATATTGCTGGACCTGCGACATACCACTCACGCTCGTTCACCGGTGTCGAATGGGCTCTTGACAGCACAAACGAGACATTGCGGTCTGGGATCTATTAGAAAAGCCTATGCACTGATTTCAAGGTGCCTACTGTGCTTCTCGAGTGCCTGTATGATGTCGCGCAGCTCCTGTCGCGTTGTGAGTACGCTGTCACGTGCAGCTCTATCAGGCGTCACTCACATCCCGAACGGCGGTGTCTTCGTCTACGCGCGCCTGGAGATCCTGGAAGATGGCCGGGTTGACCATGCCTGACTTGGATGCCATTTTGAAGTGTGAATAGATGTAGAGATGTTGTTGCGAAGAAGATTGTGTAGGTGATGTCGTTGTTTGTTCGTCACGACAAGCTACGAAATTTCGGCCTCTCACTGTTCACCACGCAAAGTTGCCGCTGTCTCACTACAAGTGCACATTTCGGACTCCGGGTCGCTCAGAAAATATTTACAGAACAAAAGAGCAGAGCTTTACGTCTCATGAGCCAATTATCCTTGCGTCATGGTATGGCCCATATAGAGAGCAGCGGCGGTGCATATACGCGCCACCGACCCAGCTACACAGGAACGCGGCTTCATTTGATAAGACCGCAAGCTATACACAAAGCCATACATCTGAGCTGGACTTCTACATTACTTGCTACCGAGACATGGTTCATAGTTACAATGCATATCAGTATTGCTGCCTGCACCACGTGACCAGAGGTACTGACCGGCTCAAACATCACATAAAGGAACTTCTTCCTCAAGGTTCTCGCAAGCGAAAACACTCAATGAAAAGGTAGGTTCGCGTCTGCCAGAAGTAGTGTGATACTGGCGACACTGTGCCAGGGAAGATGAGCAAGCCCAGAGCCTCTCCGGCTGATTTCAAAAATAAGGATAATCTTGAATTTTCCCGTAGGAAAGTTTCAGAGATTAAACTGAAAAGAACAGATACTACACTTGATCTAAGCCAAAAGGCAAAGAGAGCTAAGGAACAGAACAGGAGGACGAGGGAGCGCGGTATTATATAGGCATTGTGGCCTTGGCGCGCTAGTGATCCCGTGACCTCGCGTAGCGTCGCACGGCTCTCATGTGTGGGGCTTTTCGGCAGAATCTCGGGGTCCAAGCTTTATCCATCAGACAGTGCTGGCTAATGAAGCACGACACATTGTGTCTGCCTAGTTGAACACTTCTAGCAATATTTTCACCCAGATTCACGGAGAACATCCAGCGGTAGTATCGCGGATTGGATTCATTACATGTCAGCAGGACACCCACCGAGGCATTCACAAGGATACTTGGAGGCAAAAGGGACTGGCAAGGCAATCGCTTCCACGTTGGAGTTGTTAGTGAGGATTGTTGTGGGCAGTCGCGATCCCTCCTGCTCCTCCTATAGGCTTTGTGCTCATATCAACGATGACGTTATGCATGTGCATTGCGAGATGTGATGAATTTATGTTCAGTTGTCCTGTGCGCTGATACCAAAGAGATAGAAACAGTGTGCATTAACGACGGGTACACCTTCTCACCGTTCAAGCGGGAGTCACACCACAACATCGTGCGCGCAACACCTTACTGAGCTGCTCTTTCATGTCGTGATGCTGGAACGCGATTTGAAATGACTGGATCCAAGTAACAGACCAGCTCGACTTCTGCTTTCCTGCCACGACGCGCCTTATTCGTCCTTCTCCTACCTCGGTCCCTTCATAAGAACTGGTCTACCATGGATCATTTGGTACCTTATCCTCAGCTTGACGATGCGACGCTGCTTCTGGGCCGCAGCCCTGGCACGAGTTTGGCGGAGATCGACCTGCACGGGCTTAACCACTGCCGGCTTCATACTGACAGCAATACCCAGCGCCTCCGCTGCGGCCAGCTCACGAGCATGAAACTCACAGTTCAAGAATCTCGCCTCGTCGCGGAACCAGTGGAAGCTTTGCGCAAAGCCGGCCTGTTCCGTCGTTATGTATTGCCGTCCCTCGATGAGTGAAGTTCCGCCGTATAGTAGTTGAGTCGCCCAGCTACTGTCGTCGCCAGAGATGTCAACAATCAAGCCAATCAAGCTGAGCTAGCCTCATATAGTAAGCTACTAACCTATCCAAGCTAGCCACCTACTATATAAGGCTAGCTCAGCTTGATTGGCTTGATTGTTGACATCTCTGGTCGTCGCGTACGATCATCATGTTCAGCGCGTATATGTTGATGTCTTCTGCTTTGATCAGTCCGTCGACTCTCAACGGATTTGTCGCGTGACGTAGTCGCGGACTTATGGCGTAGAGGAAGAGAGGGCTGCGCAAGAGGAAGCAAAGGTCGTCTTCAGCCGCTGTTAGTAGCCATACAAGTATACGGACATGCCCACTCACCCAGAAGCTGCTTTCGATTGTATGATGGCAATCTGCCTGGTAACTTATCGAGCAAACCCTGGAGATGGTTACGCAATAGATCTCCTAGGCAGAGTTGCTATCAGTCAATCAGTCAGTTGTCAGTTCATCTTTGCGGTTCAAACTGTCAGTCTGGAGGTAGTGAACTGACCTGATTGACTGCCAAGACATTTTTTAGAATCGCGAACTGAGACTG